AAAATAGCAGGTGGTGATACTTTTAGGTGCATATTTACAAAGCTACCCCCAACGTACCACCCTGCCATGAAAGAGTTTCTATTTTTTCTCCGAAGAATTAACATAAACTCAAAAGACTGCCTTGTTCAGGGTCTCTGGGAGGTGAAGTGTGCTACTATGGCTTCTAGGTGAGACTCAGCTCTGTCCTCAGATTACCCCAGGCATCACATCCCCTGAAACACTGATCAGGTCCTGTTCATCAAAGATAACTGCATATACTGGGAGGCTTGGAGGACATGACTGAAAATACAACAAAATCACACCAGCTACAGTATCATGAAGTTTCTGAGTCACTGCAGAACTCAGAATAAAATGAAATTACCAGGGTAGAACATGTTTAAAACATGCACAAAATGACTCTGGATTTTAACATAATATTCCCTAAGAAGAAAAAAAACATAGATTGTGACCAAGACTAATCATGCAGCTTTTCCTCTAATTTCCTGTAGAAGTTAAAAGCCAAGAACTGTTACTGAACTTGCATCCTCCGAATTCACAGATGAGCCAAACCCTCCTCGACTCATTCCTGTCCTAACCCCAAGAGACCTCCAAAGAGCAGGGCTGAGCCTCTAATGCCTGATGTGCCTCTGCGTAGAGCTTGGAGATTTAATTTCCCTTCTGGTCTTTGTTGACCATGGAAACACCATGAATTGTTGCTTTATCTCATATTTTGGTACTCCGTTATTGCTGTTGTACATTTTATTTTGTTTTGCAGTTTAGAAATGTTTTAATTTTAGGAAGGCAATGCTGTTGTGCATTTTCAATGCAATTAGAGATATTCTGCCAAGATAAATAAATATCCTTCATACAAGTAACTGTCTTTCCAGATATCCCACAGTCATCCTTTGCAGGTTTTAAATCACGTTCATTCTCAAGGAAACTTTCAAAATAATTTATTCACTCATATTTCTCAGTAAGTTTCCCTTGACTGCCTGCTCCATATTGGCAGAGAAGGTGTGAAGGGGATGACCTGCACTGCTATTTAAGACCCAAAGAGCACTGTCCAGCATTTCATCCTTTTTTTTTTTTTTTTTGCGGTACGCGGGCCTCTCACTGCTGTGGCCTCTCCCGTTGCGGAGCACAGGCTCCGGACGCGCAGGCTCAGCGGCCATGGCTTACGGGCCTAGCCGCACTGCGGCATGTGGGATCTTCCAGGACCGGGGTACGAACCCGTGTCCCCTGCATCGGCGGGCGGACTCTCAACCACTGTGCCACCAGGGGAGCCCCTATCCATTTTTAATGAATCACGAGGTGGAATTATCTAGGATTATCACACGATTAACTCTGTTGGCTGACTCTGCTTAGATACCCAGAAACATGGAATGCTCTTCATATGAATTATCCTGCTTTCTTCCCTATGCCTCTAGAGATCAGTCAGAGGTTAGCAATTCCCTGGGAGAATTGTCAGCTATGTGTTTTTGCCTTGTATTTGGTTATAGCTTTTTTCTCCATTCTCTAAATGTTTCCTGTTTAAAAGTACCTAACTTTCTTTGCAAGAAATTCGGTTTCCCTGACCTTCTCTCTCTCTCTCTCTCTTTTTTTTTTCTGTTTCTAATGGTCCTTGAAATGAAAATGTTTTCTTGAGTTTCCTTATTTGTACTTGGGCAGCCTACTCAATGACTCACGAGAATAGCTGACGACCTGTGGTTCTCTCTGTTGAAGAGAATGCACATTTTGCAATCTGGCTTCTAAATGTAGGGGTAGATTTAAAAATGAAGACATAAATGGTTAATTATCTCCAGCATGGTGTCAAACATTCCTTTAAAGTTAAACCTTGATTTTTAATCTTCCACTCTGATCTTATGGATGAGTTTGCCTTTATGAATGCAATACTGTTTCTTTAAAGGCTGACCTCAAGTCAAATATTTCTTCTTGAAAACTCTCTACTTTGCGCGGTTATTGCTCATAGGAACCAACACTCCTAATGATGATATTTTTGTTGGCTTCAAATTCTGGGTTAACTTTTTAAAATTTTCTCCTAAAATTGTGAATGTGGTTGTGACTGCCTCTTTACTACCATTTGAATATTATTTCCTTATTGGTGTTCTATGAAAGTTGTGTATGGTTACAGCCACTTCATCTGGTACCTCTCTTATAGACCGGAAATCTTTCAAATGGTTCTTTGCATGTCATGATCAAACATATTATTATTATAGTCTCAGGACCAAATCTCTCATCCTCTCATATGTGTATGACTCAGTTTTTGATTTCCCAGTTTAGTGCTGCCTGGTTTAGGGTGGATGTAGTTACTGCATTCAGTAATTGCTCTTTGAATATAAATTTACTTGGCAGAAAGCAGCCCAGAATTCTCCTGTTAACACGGCTCTGACTTGTGTCTTAGTCCTTTTGTGTTTCCAAAGGAGTCTATTAATTCTACCAAACAACCCACCATCTGACTGAAAAAAAAATCTGTCAAACTAGCTACTTGATTAAGCCATTAGATTGAGATTACATTACATTGTATATTCCGGATTCTAGGCATATTAGCATGTAGATCAGATTCTTGTTTCTAGGTTATTACTAGTTTGATGGAACATGTTATTATAGTGGTCCATGCCATGTGTTTGAAATGTGGCTAGGATCTATAGGATAAACAGATATAACTCTGGTAATACACCTACAAAACTCCAACGTAATATGCTGATAATGAATAGATTATAGTATGGCGTTGAAGGATGGGAAGCAGAAAAGCTGAGATCTGTCCCAGCTTTGTTGCAACATATCTCTTTTAACTCATCTGGGCTTGAGTTTTCTCATCTGTACAATGAAGGGATTGGACTATAGCTTCTTCTGTCTCTGAAAAGTTAAGACTCCACCCTCCAATGGAGATCAGCTGCCCCTTCTTGACTTCGGAAGATAGTGTAGACCTTTAAAGGATCCTTGTTGAGATTTCTATGTCTTTTTATCTTTGGTTTCAGAATATAGTTTTATTCAATCTTATGGCAGAAAACATTTTTTTAAAAGTGAAATGAACTACCAATCGCCATGAAACAGGGAATACATGATTAATTTGGTGGAATGACATTAACACATTTAGGTTGCTTTGTTCTTCATTATTTTATTCAACAATTAGCTCATAAGACTGCTAAGAGCCTGTGTACCACACAGACACTAACAGTCTCTCTCCAGGTTCTGGTTCCAGGTGAGAGAGAGATCTCCCACCACGAACAAGTTAATCTCTGTGGCCCATTAGGGAGGTGATGGCCTGGGGAACCGTTCACCTGTTGAATGCACACATCTGGAAAATTCTCCTTGGCGGAACAAGCATACTGCTCTAAATTTTTCATCCACATCAATGAGATGTGAGGAGTGGCTCTTTAGCAAGACGCGACCACACAATAACGTAACAAAACCAGCTAACGGCACTTCATTTATTATAGGGCTAAATGCTCATTATTGTTTGTAAAGGATGAATTCATAACCTCTGCAGAGTTATAGTTTATACATGGTTGATTTCCATTTACAAAGAGAGAAAGTCATTGTTTTCTCTAAATGTCAAGCTTTGACTTACAAAACTCCCATTTTCTTTTAGGTTGTGGTGTGTGTGTGTGTTCAAGAAAATGTTTAGCAACTAGATAGGGGAGAAGGGAAATAAAACTTGAAATGTAGTAGGGAAAGCACACTTCAAAAATTCTAAACAAACAAACAAAACCCCCAAAACTGAGGGGGTTTCATGGAAGGTCTTAACAGAAAAGACCCACACCATACACTTCTTTTTTAATGTGCTTCCTCCAGGAGCAGAAGGAACTGGGAAAACTGGATTTTTTCCAACAGGAGTGTGAATCTGGAAATTCTTAAACAAAAATTTGTATAATTTCATGCTGCAAAGAGGCACTCTGCTTATGCAATTGAAATAAAAAATAAAGTGCCTACCTGGGTGTTTCCAGAGTAACTGTAAGCAGATAAGACTAATTAGAAGTCTTCACAGTCTCTAATTAAAAGCTAGGAAATAACTCACTCTGCGATACAAGAATCCCTGGATGTTTGGAAGGGTCACTTCCCCAAGGCCAAAGTCCCTGTTCCATGGAGCATACCATTTTGGAAGCAGGGGATCCAGAGCTTGGTACCCATGGATCTAGCCCTGAAATACACATTTGGGACAATGAGTACAGGAAATAGGGAGGGGCAATATTTTAGTACCAGTTGTACTTGGAAAATATCATTTAAAAAGAATGGGAGCTCCCATGGGCAAACAGAGAAGAACTTTCAGTTGAAGTGAGAGGGAAAATTGAGGCACTTTGCTTAAGCTTTGGGGACTTTTAAACACTTAACTTTTTCATGCCCCATGGCCAGATCCTTCTTTGGAATAAAGTTATTATTGGGTGTGGGAGAGAGTGTGAAATCGAGAAAGGAGAGGGGCATGCAATGGGGAAGGGAGGGAGCAGGAAAGTTCACTTTGCTGAATAAAGAATCTTTTAAAATATAGGTCTGCCACATTCTCTCCCCAATCAGTTTGACTGAAAAGCAGAAATACTACTCTCTTAAACACAGTTCATTTGCAATTTTCCATCACAATATAATGTGGAAAAAATAAGGCTACCTATCAACGTAAGCATATCTGGGGTGAATCTTAGGCAAAAAATGTGGACCTGCAATAATTCAGATGGTGTTTTCTTTCAATCAGTTTCAAAAATTATGGCTCCATATATTTCCAAAAGTTTCAGCATTTTCTTGTATCTCCTTACAGTCAGGCATTCAGAGGTACGTGTTGGTTTTAATAGCTTTGGTAGAAACATGCTGAAATAGGAATGGATATAAAATCCTTTGTCTTTAGGCTAATTTGGTGTGGATTTATAAGGCCTGAGTAAACTGGTAAATTAGTAAATTTCTTAAAATAATACAAATGAATGTAAGACACATAGTAGAACAGCAGATTCAGGGAAAAAAAAGGTTAGTATTGTATTCCCATGTTTTGTAAAAGACATCAAGTAAGGCTACCAATACAGGAACTGAGTTCTTTTTTTTGTTTTTCCTGTGATGATTTCCTATCAGCTTCATGTTCTTGGAGGGGGCGATGAAAAAATGCAAGATGGCCTTTGACTTTGTTTCCTACGTGGTCAGCAGTGACACTGGCTGGAATCCGGGCTCAGCATTCTCGTAGAGTGTGCAACGTGGATGCTTCTGGCTGGTAGGGAGGATGTGGCAGTTAGCTGATAGTGCGCTGTGTTTGGGAAGGCTCACAGGGCGGGGGAGCAAGCCTCGGTGTCAGAGACTTCCTCTCTGGTCATGCCCTCCTTTTGGCTTGAGCTGGGTCTCAGAGGTTGGCTGCCATTCTTACCCTTAGATGGGGTGGAGGTGGGTCTCAAGCTACCTCAGATAATTAAACAGCAGCTGTGACACTTGGAGCAGTGTTTCTTCTTTTTCTTGGGATGGAAAATGGTGAGGATCGCTTCATCAAAAACGGCTTTGAGACCTTTCTGAGTCAGGGCCGAGCATTCCAAGTAGCACTGTGCTCCAATCTTAAACACAAAAGAGAGAAAGGCATGAGAGGAGAAAAAGAGAGAAAAGCACAGTGGTGTCTGCCCTCTGCGCAGCCAATGCTGCTGCTGCTTGTCTCACAAACAGCCTGGGGGATGGTTTGGATCATGTCTTTTTCTTCAGCATTTCAATTTGCATGTGCTATCCTGATTTTTGGTATTTTTGTATTTTTTGCTTTCTGATATTAATAATAAATGATGTGGAGTGCTTTTGATAAGCAGCAAATTCTGAAAGTGATCCATAACCATTTATTCCTAAATATAAGAATATAAATAATATAAAAATTGAGAGGATTCAAACCAGTGATATGGTTTAAATATATATTGTGAACAACAGGGTACATGATGTTGTTTTTAGTACCTCATTTGTATGCAGAACATGTAAATCTGGTGCGAGTGAAACATATTCCCTTCTGTATATAGTAGGGCAAGGTGTCAACTTGGTTAATAAAGCACATAGAAAGAGAGTGGGTGATACGGTTTTATAGGTCATTCTTGATTAAAATGCTCTTCTGACAAAAGGTATCTCTCGGCAAAGTAATATCTGATTGGTCATATTATTCAGTTTTAAGATACATTAAAAGGCATATTTTTAAGCAGTTAAACTCCAAAACACTAAAAATAAAAATCATAAAATGCATTTACTGACACAGACACCCTCCTTATCAGTATACAGTCTATGTGTATTTAAATGAGGAAATATTTTGTGCTTGCTTAGGGCTTTGTTTCAAAGCTTTTGATGATTTCATATTATGATGTATTTGATAATCACAAGATCCCTATGAGAAATATAAAAATTCAGGCCAGAGCCATAGATTCTCATTAAAAAAATTGCAGGGTAGAGCAGACCAGAAGTTGGCGATCAACTTCATGAGATAATTCATGTGAGGGAGACCCGGGGTTTTAATTGCTCCCAAGCTCAATATGAGCTAACAGTTTGATGTGGACCTTTTAATATTAAGGATATCTGGAGAAATGCTTCTATTATATGCTTTATATTATAAGAATAACTTTGAAAAATTAAAGTGTATTCAGAAGAGGATGGCTGGACGGTGAGCTCCTGGAAACCAACAACAGATAAATGACTAAAACAGGGTAACAAAATCACATGCCGATTAGGGCCAGTAGCTTATGTAACTGAGTAAAGCAGGGCTGGTGCCAGACAACAGGGAGAGGTAGAGTCTGTGGTGGCCTGTGAAGTAAACACCCCCTCCAGAGCTGGTAGTCTACTCGGCTTAGGCAACTGTTGCCAGGCAGGAACGTTGGTTCATCATTGCCATCTCTGTATTTTTCAAGAGGACTTGGACATTTGGATTTTAGTTAATATTTACCAATTGAAAAACACTCTATGGGTCAAGCAAGATGCTGATGTGGGATGTCTTTGGCAGCAACCAGCCAGTTTGCAATGTGTGGATTAAAGGGACTGGTGACTTAGCTTAGAATAGAGTGGGAACAGCCCCAGAAGGTGAAATGTATTGTTTAAGGACATCCAACTAGAAAGTAAATGATCTAGACCTAGAATCTGTGTCACTTGATGTGTGTTCTTTTCCTAGTTCCATGATGGAAACTGTGACGCTCGTCACTCAACACTGCAAGAAGCTGGTCAAGCTGACAGTTAATGAAATGAAGTTGCCCACTTGTTTGAAAGTCCACAGATAAGAAAGCTAAGCATGAGGTAAAACTCTTCTGGTGGCATCCAGATATTAGGCACTTGCTTTTTTCCTGTATGGTTAATGGTTACTGTATGAGTCAAAGGAAAATACTCAAAGAAAAGATGTTAGATATTGATAACTTATTTTATGGTTTCGTTTTGACCGTGGTCTGGATTAGAATATGGCTTTTTTATATAATTAAAAACAATTGAATGCAAGAGAGGGATAAAGGATAGAAAAAATTTTCCTAATAATGTTCTGAAATGTCATCTGTTACATTTTGGGATTGTGTTCAGTATTTGATACGAACACATGTGAAAAGCACACAAATCTAGTGAATGTGTCAACTGAATGAGTGCTTGTAATGTGCTGGCTCTTGTCAGTCATCTTGAAAAAATACACAGAAAGCACTGTGGGGCTGTTCTATCTGGAATACCTCCCCACTAATGATCACAAGCCTCAGTTGATTCTGGAAATTACAGGAGAGCTGGGCTGATCTGGGCTCACATGTGGAGTTCTGGACTGTCTGGTCCTGCAAGATGGGCGAGCACACTCTCTCCTCCTCCTGTCCCCTCTCCCCACCCCCTCACTCCCCCCCCCCACCTCGGCCTCCCCCTCCCCCGCCCTCTCCCTCCACCCCACAGTGCTGCTGACAGCGTGTCAGAGTTTGTCTTTTGATGGTGCAGGAGGAGTCCAAACTTGTCTTTCCCAATTCAGACATTTCTGAAGATAATGAAACAGCAGAGCAAGGCATTATTGTGTAACTGGGTTAATATAACATTATTTTGTACTGATAGTTCCAGGAAAAGTAGCAAACAGATTTTGGGTGTGATTTGGGAAATATGTGTGAGAACCAGAACCCAGTTGTGAGGTGAGTATTGTTAACCATGGTGCAAGGGCTCTGAGGGTCAGAGAGGAGAATTTATTCAGGTTCAGGGAAAAGGCACAGCCATGTTATAGGGACTGCTGAAGAAAAAATGTGTGGCCTCAAAGATGCAAAATGGAAAACCATCCCAAGGAAATACAGCCTCTCTTACAGCAGCAACTTCATCTGCCTTTTGGAGCAAAGTGGTCTACACAGTCAAATATTTAGAACACATCTGTATGCGCTCAGGATTCACAGATCTTTGTTTAGATACACATGCTAGCAGTCTGGGACATGCTTTACCAAAATGATATGTTTTCAAGAACAAACTGGAGATTGAGAAATGTAAACTGAGAGAACACTTCCCTGCTAACTTTATAATAGCTAAAACTTATTGTCTCAAATGCTGGGAAATTTTTCAGAGGTGTAGAGAACATTTTGAGTCCGACAAGAAGAAATTAGAAAACAGGCAAACAAATTCACAATGACCAATCAAGTGGAAGAAAACCTAGTATTTCTTCCAGATGGTCCTCACGGAGGTGGGACACGTTCTAGAACAAGATAAGGTATAACTGGAAAGAGTAAAGGTGGAGAGGTCTTCCCAGCTGCAGACGTGTCTGAATGGACACAGTTTCAACAACTCTAGCTTGCTGAGCTAGATCTCACGGTACATTGGCTCATTCAATCAGGAGGTAAGTCTGTCACCATTCTCCTTTGCAGCTCGGATAACTGATGTCCAGAGAGGTTAGGTAAACTCTCTAAGTCCTCACAACTAAGAAAATGGCAGAGATTTGAATTTGTCTGTCTCTTGAGCCAGAGTCTTAACCATTCTGTTGTGCTCTCTCTAGCAAGTGTAAAGAAATATGTTTGAAAGAGCAAAACTAACGAACAAATGGAGATGCTGTTATGGGCTGAGTGACGGTAGTGAGAGAAGCAGAGAAGGAAAAGTAAGGCAGTTCCTGTAAATGGAGAGAAGACATGTCAGTAGAATGAACAGAGTGGGCTTGTATCTTAAGGAATGGCTAGTAGCAGAGAAGTTCCTTATTTCTTATTTAAGAACTAGGAAGCGTACACGCAGCGAGAGGGCAACTTGAGAGCCAGGCAAAGGAAAAGGAGCCGAATAGCTTGTGAGAGAATTTCCATCTCAACAAATCAACATTATGACCAAATTGCTGAAAGAGGAGAAGGGTTTCCAGGCTGCGTGCATTTGCTGCTGATGTGTTTTTCAAGAACTGGCAGAATTCGCCAATCCAAGGGTGGATAATGTGAGTGCACTGCTTGAGTGTAGGTTATTATGGAGTGGTGGGGACTGTGGCTTACTGAAGGGTACATACGTTGTTTAAAAGACTGTTGAAAAGTTGCAGTTGATGAGGAAATGCTGGATAGTGCTGCTGGATGTACTGATTTTTTTTTAAAGAAGCTAGAAATGTGTACATTTACATAAAGTTTCCAAATTGTTCAATGTTGACCACTAAATCACATCAAAAATACCTGTGTGTGTTGATCAAAACATTTGTGGGTGAAATTTGGCCCATCACTTGCATGTATTGGTCTCCCTATCTGGAATTTCGTCTCCCCAGTCCCCTAACTTTGTCCACTTGACAAACCTGTTCCTATCCTGTAAACCTGGCTCAGTTCTCAACTACTCCAAGAAATCGTCTCTGAACCCTCCTCCCCTGAATGTGTCCATCACTCTCTCCTCTCTGTTACCTCAGCCCTTTGCACACCTTTCTGTTGTATTTGTTCAGTTGGTGTACTTTTGTTTGTCTGTCTCTCTCATCTTCTGGCCTGTGGGTCTCTTGAGGGCAGGGGCTATCTGTCTCTCACCTCTGTAGCCCAGACCCCAGCGGTGAAGTGACTGATTTCTAATGACCATGGGAGAAAGAGGAAATGGCCGGCACACAAAACAAGGAAGGTAGTGGTGACTCTTGCGGTCAGGGGGAGGGTACTAAAGACTCCATGAGCATTGATGACAGGATTTTTGCAGCAGTTTTGCTGCTTTTTGGTGCAAGTTAAAAATCCAGGGGGAAACAGGTGCTAAGACAAAGAGTGGGAACAGCAATAAAAAAGGCACAGGGTGGGCTTCCCTGGTGGCGCAGTGGTTGAGAGTCCGCCTGCCGATGCAGGGGACACGGGTTCGTGCCCCGGTCCGGGAAGATCTCACATGCCGCTGAGCGGCTGGGCCCGTGAGCCATGGCCGCTGAGCCTGCGCATCCGGAGCCTGTGCTCCGCAACGGGAGAGGCCACAACAGTGAGAGGACCGCGTACCGCAAATAAATAAATAAATAAATTAAAAAGGCACAGGGTGAAGAAGATGGCAGGAGAGGCCCAAAAGAGGCCAAAGACCAAAAAAAGGAAAGATGGTCATGTGTTTTATCAAGAAATACCTTAGGAAGTCTGAGCTTAGAAAATCATGTTTAGGTTGTATCCAATGGAATTGGGAAAGAGAATGCACAAAAGTATCATCTTAGAGCTAAAGTGACACATATTAGGTATCAGTTATTGCCAAATAAGTCCAGCGGCAGTATGGACATACACAAATGAGAAAAGCATGGGAAAAGTAGGCTGAAGATTAAAAAATACACTAATGAAGAGAAGAGGGAGGATAAAACAAGTAAAGGGATAACAATGAATATTTATTATAAATTGATATAAAACATTTACGTAAATGTAGTTGACTTTGGAGTGTAAAGAACTGGAAATATTACAATATGAAAATGTCCTTTATAAATAAAATGTCCTTTGAGACCAAAAAGAGATGATAGATAAAAAATGTTTTGGAAATTGAAAAGTACTGAACAAAAAGATATAAAAAATCTGAACTTGCAAAGCCTTTAAGCTATGGGGAGAACATACACATAAAAATACGGGGCTTCAGTCTATAAACAAAGAAGGCCCTACCTAAGGGTTTCTTTTCAGATTGTAGGAGGGAAGCAGAAGAGCATGGTGGTTAAAGCACAGTTTCATATCCTGGCTCTGCCACTTTCAAGCGGTGTGACTTTAGCCTCTCTGAGCCTCAGTTTCCTCTAGGAAAGTGGAGGTAATAATATATACACCTCAGGGGGTTGCTGTGAGGATTAATTAAGACAAAGCATGTAAAGCGCTTGGCATGAAACCCAGCCCACTGCAAACACACCATAAATGTTAGCGGTTATTATAAACTACTTGACAGGAAAGTCAGGGAGCAGAGAAACTTAAAGCATCTCTATAATTACATGAATTGTGATGAAACAAGTTAAACTCTTGCTTGGTTTTCTTCTAAATTGGATTTTGTAAGCTAAACATGATGCTCTCAGTATCTGAGAGCAGTTGCTAGGAGAAACTGGCAAAAGGCAATGAAGTGGCGAACTCAGCCATTGTTCCTAAAATAAATATGAAATGAGATGGGAGGCTGTGGAACAACTTCTCAGAGGGAAGAAACGACTTCCCAAATGAGAGGTCAATCTAGGATACCGACAGGATGGTGGTGAGAGAGAGGCCAGAAGCAAGAGACACAGAAAACAAGCTCCTGCAAAAAGGAGGCCTCCGGGACCTCCTTTTTGTGAAAAATGCCTAGTTGGGAATCACATACAATCATTTATGGAGCTATATATTTATGTACCTTAGGGAGAGAATGGAAGCTGGATGTGTGAAGAAAAGGTAGAAGAATGTGTAGATGTATGCCCATCTTATAGGAGGAAAAACAAATGGCTGGAGGAGAGTTTACACAAGGTCAGGTGCATGGGGATGACGTCCACAGAGCTGGCTTAGAGTTGTTTTACTGTGTTATTATCAGCTGTATGAATCAAACGTGTTCATCTCCCTAAGATTCTGTTCCCTCACCTGTAAGAGGAGACCAGGACTATGTGCCTAAGAGGGTGAACATGAGGCTGAAATAGACAGAGCTTGTAAAGTGCTTAGTGAGAACGCAATGGATGGCTCACACTGCTGGTTCTGACATTACTATCCATAGAAGTAGGAAGCGTTAACTTTATCAAATATTTGTAAGATGTTCTCATATATTGCATCCATAAAACATAACTTTAACCCATTTCTATTCGAGTGTATCACTTAATTTTGTTGCCTATAAGAAAGTTTTAATAAGAGAAATGCATGCATTTTTATTCACAAAGAATCAGTAGTTAATGCTATTCTTGACCTATTTAAAAGAGGGACCCCTAACTCTGCCCCAGGGCATACATTTGCAGGGTTAGTTACTTTAGAAAGTAAAAGAGAAATTTCTGAAACCTCTGGCAGGGCTTGATGGGTTTGTGACTAAATCAATGAGGAGGTTATGGAAATATGATTTATAAACCTCCTCTTGCATATGGTACCTCATCCTCTTATGTGCATTTTAGTGTCTGCCTTTGTACACATCTTGGTGGTAAATGGGAGACAAAGACTTGGTCCGAATCATTTGCCCAACAAAATCACTGTTAAGCTCTTAGGAATGAAGAAAGGTCTGTGGAAATTGTTCCAGCTGTGAGCAAGTAGCTATTATCTGTCGAATAGTCACTTGGATTCTCCAACTAGTTACCTTTTGGTCTGTGTTACTCTTTTAAGATGCTGTTTGTGACATAATCCAGCCTCTCTAAGTGGCTGTTCATTATAGGGTGAGAAATACTGAACAAATATAACCCTGCCAGATGCAAATCGAAGTCTCTCCCGGGAAAATCACAAAATGCCTTTTATGAAGTCACTTAAATGAGTCACACGGATAGTAAGCAATGAAATTTACAAATATGTATCTAACGATTCCCATTATTCATACTTAATATGGCAAATGGATAATTTTAGAGGTTGCTAAATCAGATGATAAGTGCTTCAGCTGTTTAAATTCACCAAATTTCTTAATGAAAAACAGACAGTGCTGGCTGACAAGAATGCTAACCAAATGGTCCCTTCCAGCCTGACTAGAATAGAGGGGAGAGTATAAAGCAGAGAGATGACTCTGAACACATTGTATTTTAAAGCAAAAGCCGATGTCGTTCTTCCATTCCAAAGCATACGCAAACTCTTCTCTCAGCATCCATTTAAAATGAAATTCAAATCGGTACCGCTTTTGCAAGCTTCACACCATGCTCATAAGTGAGAGGTTTCTCTTTCATATACAGCAAACGGGCCAAGGTTTTAGGGTCATCTCGGAGATCAATCTGGCAAAAAACACACATGTGATACACTTATTTATTTTTTCAGGCCTCACCAGATGTTTAAAACTGTCACATAATAGAGATGTCTTTCCCCTTGACACCTATGAATTTTCTTTAAGGAAGCACATACACATGGCCAATTATGTCTAAAAATTAGAGTGAGTTCTTTGTAAATGTATACACCAGGCTTTCCTTATAGTTTCCCCTTCAAAGCTATTACCCTGGGAGCTGATTCGAATGATTCTGTAGCTGTTTCAAATGTTTTTGAAATTTCCTGTTTATTTCTAGGTCCCACTTATAGGATATACAAAATAATCAATGGGTCCTACTACTGTACGGTGATGCCTCATTTGATCCCTGGTTATACTACTCATTATCTAATAGTTTATTTCCTGGCTCTGAATATATATATATATATATATTTTTTTTTTTGGCGGGGGGGACAGTTTCTAAACCAAATCTTCACCCTCAAAGGGATGAAGATTTGCCACCTGTGAGGATATTCTAACAAATGTGCTGCAGGCTCTGAAGGCAAGTCCTAAAAAGGGCTTGCTCAAGGAATAAGCATTAATCTTTTCAAAGGCAGAACTACTTCGAAAATAGCATCTATGTTTGGATTAGGGTTGATAATTTAATTAAATATTTAAGTTGCTTTAAAATCTCACTGTGTGTGTGAACCCATGCATACATACATGGGTGTAAATGTGGGCACATAAAGGCTTGTGTTTTAAAGGAAAAATAATATATTCATATATTAGGGTCCCGTAAGCACATTTCTCAGCGTTACTAATTTGTGTGTGTGGGCATTTTTTTTTTTTGGCCTTAGTTTTTCAACTTAGTGCCCCACCAGTTATAAAAAGGACTCAAATCATACAAAGATGTTTACATGTCCCATCACATATCTTCCCACCAAATGGTCAAACACTATCATCTGGAGTTAAGGCAAAAGATTTCAATTAAACAAACTAATAATTATCTTCCAGAGCAGAAGCATTAATTGTATTCTGATTTATGGATGTATTAATTATCTGTCCATACACTCTCTAGGAAATGTTTTCCTTTCTTTTACTTTTTTAAAAATTTCTCTTTGTGAAGCACAATGTAAAATGAGAAATAGAAAGCAGCAGCATATGAAACAGATAATAAAGCTCTTTGCTATCATTACATTTCCATATGTCTTTGGGATAGTAATTTGGGTTTTAACATAGCAAAGAACAAAATCTATTTAAAACTATAAAAAGCTGGAACAATCTTTAATGCATTTGTGCAACTGCTGGAGATTCAAACTATGGAACTTTATTAGCTTTCAAAACACTTTAAAGGCTTTTACAATCACAGCTTTATCTGGTATATATCTGTTCTAATGTTTTTTTAAGATCTGAGAGATCGGGGGCTTAAAGGGAATAGAGAGCAATGAATTTCTGTCTTCCTTTTCAAGGGCTGTTCCTGAAGAGTTTTTGTCATAATGAGCCAGTTCTGATTGCTGCGGTCATTTTGACATTCACACCTATTTTGTGACTTTCAAACAATAATGGATTTTAGATATAAAAAATATTAGATAATAAGTGTAATTGACATCTGCACCTCATTCCTCTGGCTCAGGACTGGAGAAGGTTGTCTATTTAAAAAATTACTTTGTTATTTAAAAGAAAAAAGCGGAGAGATTAATTTTTAAAGGCCTTAACAAAGCTTCCTTTTTCATATTAAATAGCTTTACTGTCTTTTCAACCATGGGCTAAATAATCATTCAGCTCTTAATAAAGGCTGTTCATAGGATTAATGTATCTGAGACACTCTTCTATAGTGTTTGATAGAATAGGATGTTCAGGAGTTGCGAAAGGTTCTTTTCTTTTTCACAAACCCTCCACCTACCGACCCTCCCTGCCATGCCCGCCTTCGAACCTGGGTCCCTATGAGGACGTAAGGCACGTGAGGCATGCAGTCCTTCAGCTCCGGGACCCACTCCTCCTGGACGTTGTGATAAGAGGCAGGATTTACGACGGAGAAGCAGATCAAAAACACATCCGTGTTGGGGTAGGAGAGCGGCCTCAGCTGGTTGTAATCCTCCTGCGGGAAGAGCAAAGAGTTTGTGCTTTTGTACAGCCGGGGTGAGGTGTAGCCACGTGGTTCCAGGGAGTGCCTCGGGAAAGATTCCACCGCCGTGCCCTTCGACCCCATTCCTTCCCTGACCCTGGAATCTGGTGGTTCCCTATATTACAAGAAGTAAAGGAGCCATCAATCCGGAAAACACCAGTTTGTTCTGTATAAAGATTATGAATTGCCTCCGTTTAAGATGAACTAAAAAAAAAAAAAACAAAACCTAAAAAAAGTTTTAAAAATAGCTTTAGTGAGGTCATTTACATACCGTGAAGTTCATCCATTTAATGTGTATAACTCAGTAAGAATTACTGCAATTCTGTCCCTTGGGAATTGTGTTGTATTGAATATGGATTTAAATTAGTGGGCCATTGGCCAAGGCACAGAAATTCTCTCCTTATATAATTGAAAAAATTGCATTGAAATTTAATGTAGAATAAGCTAACTCGAATGCAAAGCAGAGTTGTTGCCAAATCATACACCCCGATATTTGAATAAATATATTGTCTGAGGGTTTGGAGCTAAGAATTTGGGGATTTGTTTCTAAATCTACCTAAAAGCCATACTGTGGCCTAATAAATACAATGCCAGATTAATGACTTTTCCCCAAAGACTTTTCAGACCAGAATATGCTCTAGTTGAAGAGCTCCTGTTTGCATAAGATGTTTATGTATATGCTGTTTTAGTGGGAGGTGACAGAGACAAAGAAAAACATTGGATCATCTCAACTTTGGGAAAATGTCAGCAAGTACCTTTTATTGTATGTAAAATGTTTTAGGAGGTTCCAAGGTAAAATCTGCTATTTCATTAGAAGGTTTAATCTATTTTCATAGAATTTGGTAACACATAAGCCCAAAGTAACTTTATGTGTGTGTATACTTTACATGTATATACTATGTATACACACATGTTCTCACATACCACAATATGACAAAATGTTCATACACGCTATGTGTAATTTATATACATATACACACTACATACAGGCACACATTATACATACATAGGTGCAATCAAATCTATATGTTCACACTTATACATGTGTACATAGACATGGGCAACATATCAATTCATTTATTAGGGTCTGTCCTTAGTACTCTTCCTAACACTTAAAAAAGTTACAAAATTTATATATGCTCTTTGCAAAAATTCAAACATTACAGAAGTACATAGGGTAGAAGTAAAACTTTGTTCCCATCCTGCACTTGCTCTCTAAGAGTTTTTCCTCTCTTCCCAGAGGAAGCAGCTATGTAACAGTATCCTTCTGAACTTTTAATATTTATTTACGTATATAACATACACATGTTTATTTAAAAAAGAAATCGATTATATAGCTCATATTGTTGTGACACTTGTCTTTTTCAACTTAGTAGGTCATGGATATTTAAAAATATTAACCTCACTATCTGTTGACCCTAATAATGTCTATAAAAAGGGGGTGCAGACAGCCACGTACACGTATGCCCCTTCCAAGGCGAGGAAGCCCCTTGGAATGTCAAAGGTGGTCATCTCTGGCTGGTAGCCGTGCATTTATCTATCATTTACTCAAGGTGCCCAGCGCACAGGGACTCAGTATGCATGGCTGGCACTATTACTGCTTTTAATACTAACAAAATCTAAGCAATTTCAATGCAAGCTGGCAAGGATGCTGAAAAATCCTAAAATCCTAAAAAGTGAACTAAAAGAACACACAAAACAGTCAGTCATTGTGGTTGAGTACATTGCTTAAAAACTGATTGGGCCAGGCCTACGATTGCATCTCAGCCAAGTTGTGCCCATGGCTATGTGTGTGTGTGTGTGTGTGTGTGTGTGAGCCTGCGTGGTGGGGGTGGGAGTGTGGGAGGGGACAGCTTGTTTCTTGTCAGTGACTCTTCCTCTTTCCACAGCTAGCCCTGAAAGCCAAATCTGTCCCACAGTCTCTCTGCCTCTCTCCTTTCTCTCTGGGACTTTCTCTCTCACAGTAGCTGTGAAGCCCACAAGCCAAGAGCTCTCCTTCCCAGCCCATAATCTACAGCTGTTCATGATACCACCTGCTCCCTGCCACTTCATCCTCTCATCTGCATTGTCATAAATGGAGTAGGAGCCGTGTTGTTTTTTTCTCATGCCCCACTTGTACTCTGTACATAGCAAATATTCCATAAATGCTGTTGACCGATTTTGATGACACCCGGTCTGCAGTGACCTGCAGATGAACACATGGTTTTTCTGTCTATCATTTACTGCAGTAGTTTTCATTAGAATCATCCGGGGAGCTTTAAAAACATCCTAATGCCCTGCTAACCAACTACCTGCCTCTACCTTCCTTACTCTGGGACCAGTGAAATCAGAATCTCTGGAGAGTGGGCTTGGGTATCTGGGTATTCTGATTTCATTGGTCTGAGGTTGGCATGGAGTTGAGAACAACTGATTTACATCATCTTCAATGTCAACAGAGGATGTATCAGGGGCTTATTACTAAGGGCCAGGCACTCTTTCAAGCTCTTACATGCGTTATCTAGTTGAATCCTCACACTAGCACTGAAAAGATGGTACCGTCAACATCTGAGTTTCATAGAAGAGGAAGTTAAGGTTTAGAGAAATTCAGCACTGGACCAGTGTTACAGAGCTATTAAGCACCAGGATGGGGGTATTTAGCCTGAATCCAGCTCTAGCTCTTAATTGTGACCACACGATTTGCTTCAGCCCGGAATTTTAAGGGACAGGTTAAGCATTTTCTTGAAAACTCATTTATCCAGGAATCTTAATATGGGTTCATACTTTACCCAAGGATCTAGGAAAAGAAATGTTAGAGACCGTGGGGTGGGTATAGTATCTATTTCTACAGAGCTATAGAGAGGCATATCTCTAGGCCTGCATCTACCAGAAATTACCACCAGATGGCAGCAGACACTGTATATTTAAAACCTCAACGCTTAAGAAAGCACAAATGAGAGAAATGTCAGAACTAGGTAAGTTGGGTCACAACTAGATAAGCAAATAACTGGTAGTCTGAAAGGATCATGTTTACTTGATTCTTTACCTAGAAGCTCTCAAAGGAATTCTGCTCACATTATGGAAAAGTTAGGCAGACCCCTGGTTGCTGGATTAACTGTAGGTGGGAAGGTGAAAAGAGTTTGGTTTTTCGATAATTTACCCTCCTGGTAGGTCCAGCTGAGTGACTTCTGACTGTGTCCTTCATTGGGCTTTATCCTGCTCTGTATTCTGGATCTCTCTTCTGTGGAAACCTTAGTCCTGCTGTATAATTCCATTTAAAAAGATTTATTAATTGCCTACTGAATGTCTAGCATACAGCAGTCAGGATGCTATATGAACTATATAAGGTGAAAAGAATTGGGGAAAAGCTAGTGGGGGAAAAAATGAAAATATGGGAAACAATTCGATTTATGTGAAAATGAGACAGGTGAAGTTTCTCTTGCTTTTAGTAAGCTCTCTGATAATAGAATAATGTAGAATAGTTATTTGACTGAATTGGGAAAATACAATTTCAAGGCTGGAAGAGGTCTAAGAGTTAAGTTAGTGCAGTGGCTCCCAAAGTAGGGTCCCGACTCGCAGCATGGGCATCACCTGCGAGCTTGTTAGGGGTGCACATTCCCCGGTGCCACCCAGCCTTCCTGAAGCTGAGGCTCTGGGGGAGGGGTTGCTCCACCTGTGTCCTAACAAGCCCTCCAGGTGACTGTCATAGCTCAAGTCTAGACACTGAATGATTTAATCAGGACTACAGAGCAAACGTACCTCTGAAGAAGGCTCACACCTAGGCTGGTCGGGCTCGTTTCAGCCCGTTTGCCACTGGCTGCAGCTATGACACACGGCAGTGGGTTCAGGATTAATAAAAGTAAGTGTCCCCTCAGACTGAGGCCTGGCTGCTGGGAGTTTGGGGGACTTGAATTTGTACCAGCTGATAACTCGGGTGATTTTTTTTCTTTTGCAATGGGGCACATTTTGGGTCTTGGTTGGATGCGCACATGTTGAGATGATATAAAGGGGCTCTGAGGATTGGGTCGGTGGTTTATTTTGTATTTGAGGCCCGTTCCAATGTTGAAACTGAGAATGGAAGACCATAAGAGTGACTCAAAGGGGGCTTCAAGGGCTAAAGTGGACAAACAGGCTGGGCAGGGTATGGGGGTGGAGGGAAGGGTGGGATTTGGGCAAGGTACGCTTTTTTTTTTTTTGCGGTACGCAGGCCTCTCACTGTCGTGGCCTCTCCCGTTGCGGAGCACAGGCTCCGGACCTGCAGGCCCAGCGGCCATGGCTCACAGGCCCAGCCGCTCCGCGGCATGTGGGATATTCCCGGACCGGGGCACAAACCTGTGTCTCTTGCATCGGCAGGTGGACTCTCAACCACTGCGCCACCAGGGAAGCCCAAAGTAGGCTTTCGAGTGCTTTCCACCCAACTTCACTCCAAAGGCAGGAGAGTGTTTTGTCTTAAGGCAATCTGGTGTTCTGGGGTAACTATGGGTGATTATCAAACAAAAGTTCAGGGACCGCCTCAGCCTCAGATGGGCTGAACACCTTGGGCTCGAAATATGCCTGGAACAGCCGCATCATGATGGCACAGTGGTGAGCAAGTGAAACCATTAGACCAGCCCTTCTCAAACTTTATGCATATTTGAATCACCTAGGGATCTTGTTCAAATGCAGATTTTTATTCAGCAGCGGGCCTGGGATGAAGTCTGAGAATTTGCGTTTGTAACAGGTTTCCAGGTGGTGCTGATACTGCTGGTCCGGGGACCACACTTTGAGAGGCTAGGAGCGTTGCACTGAGCATCCCCTCCCCCCCTCCTCACCCCCATACCTATGTTAAATTGGAAATGGAATTCTGCTTCCAAGCCCTGTTGGTTTAATGGTATTTACCCCAGATTTTCAACACATTCTCACTTTCATATTCTCCCATAAGTACACTCATATCTGTCAGGCTTGGTTTGGAAAATGTGGACACAGCACACGTAGGGCAGGAGTGCGGCAGAGTGTTTAAGAACATGGGCTAGGGAGACATATTCTCTGGGTTCAAATCCAGATGGCCTATTGGGTCAGCCGATAGTAAAGAGGAAGGCTCCTGTCCTTCCAGGTTGCCATTAATGAACCCCAGGTGTACTTGGCCTCCCTGCCTGGTCCTTATGTCTCTCTCTTCAGCCCTTGCGGGGGCAGGGGGCAGGGAGAAGGGGAGGAGAAGGGTTTCAGAATCCAGGACAGGTGAAGACGTGTGGTGTGCAGCCCTGGCTGAGTGAGGGGTACAGCTGATGGCCTTCCTGCTTCCCAATTTTCATGGTCACCAGTGACAGCTGGGCTGCTGTGGTTCCTCAGTGACAGACACCATTTTGTGCTTGGCCGCCAGCAGACGGCCCCTGATCCAGCAGTGCTTGTGTGCAGAGAACTCAGGGGTTTATCCTGCTGAGAAGCCAGGCTCCTGACACCAGGAGATTCTCATTCCTCCCTGGTACTGCTGCTAACTGCCACTTTTGCAAATGTTGCTTTTGAGATACGTCCATCGTGGAGTTTGGCCTGAGAGGCCACAATCACAGCAGGGTTTTACCCACGTTGCTCCTGGAGGCCAGGGCCCACGAGAGAAAGAGACAAGGTGTCTTAGTACCGGGACTGGTTCCAGTCTAGGTGGTCAGCTGAGGGGTGGGAGGATGCCTGGTTCAACGCCGTGACCTGGGAAACGCCCCTCTCCCACTCTGGCATTCCTTAGCTGGCCAGTACCCAGGCTTGCGGCAGTATCCCCACCCCAGCTTCCTGCTCTCCCTCGTGACACACTCTAAAGAAACTGGCCTGCAATCACATCATTTAAAAGTCGGCTCTCAGACTCTCTGTAGTCAAGCCAAAGATCTGAGCTCTAGAAATCCCTTTCAGAGAGACTCTCCGTAATGCACTTAGGGGCAAGAGTCACACAGGCTGGGTTGGCAGGACCTAAATAGATCTGGTTTACAGACCAGGCCTTATTGCCTCCCCAGTGTGAGCTGAGTGGGTAACATGCCGAGTCACCCTGTACAAAAACCCCTCACTTCATTGCCTAACTGACTGTTTGGAATTCTACCCAACAGATGAAGCAGAGTTCTGAAGGCTCTTTGTCTTCAAAAGACTCCACTCAAAGTCCAAGTATCAGTTTGTTTCAGGGGCTTGGGGAGAGAGCTAATGCTTAATAGCAGCTGCCAGGTGCTGGCCGTGTTTGCACGTGAACATTATAACCTGCCTTCAGCAGATGCTTGGCTGGCTCGTGCAGTGCTGCAAGCGTGTGTCAGGCGAGGCTGGCGGGGCTGCAGTGATGCCTGAGGTGACCAGGTGTGGCGAAGTGGAGGGAACCAGGTCGAGTGATTTTGTCCAGGGCTGGCTTTGAGGGTAGAAATAACGAGCTCCTATCAGTTTATCTTTCCGAACACATGTGCTTCTTGAAGTTGTTTTTGTTAACTCTGAGCCACAGTTAGCTCAGGACAAAGATGAGGGGCACTGCTCCTTGATTTGTTCATGCGAGAAAATCTAGTTATTCACAGCAAGATGGAACCCTATAGCCAGATTCAGAGACTTATTTCTTTTTTTGTGGCTCAGGGATTAATCAATTGGTTTTGAGGTCGCTGCTCTTCCTTGTTAGTAATTCTGACCAGATGAGTAATTTTGAATTAGTATAGATCTTCCTTAGCCATGTGACCTCAGCAACATTTGTTCGAATATAACTGAGGAGGCTAGATTATCCTCCTTGAGGCTGGCAATGGAAATGTTGGGACAATGCTTCTAAATTAAATTTGTCACTAAGACTTATTGGTAGAGTTGTAGAACCATGGGAATCAACTTGGGTAATGGTTATTTTCCACCACATCCTCCTAACATTAGGAACAATGTTTCAACCACCAAAGACTCTGAGGATCATGATTCTTAAATTTTAATGTGCATACGAATCACCTGGAGATCTTCTTCAAATGCATTTTCAGATTCAGTAGGCTGGGGACAGAGCCTGAGATTCTGCATTTCTAATGAGGTCCCTGGCAATGCTGCTGGTTGGTGGACCAGACTCTGAGTGGTAAGGTTCTAGAACCGTGGTTCTCAAAGTATGGTATACAGACCAGCAACAGCATCACTGGGAAACCTGTCAGAAATGTAAGTATTAATACTTAGGCACCATCCCAGACGTGTAGAATCAGCAACACTGCAGGTGGGGCCCAGTGACTGGGTTTTAACAAGCCCTACAGGTGATTCTGATCCCCGCTCAAGCTTGAGAACCACTGTTCCACAAAATGAATTATTCATACGCGTCATCCTTCAGTGGAATGCATTCCAATACCCAACAGTCCTTTACTGCTGAGAGGTCTCCCTTAGGTCTAGCCTCAAATTGTTTTGCTTAATTATTCCGGTTCTTTTAGGCATTCTCGAGGTCATTTTTAAAGGTCCTAATCATAGAATTTTAGTCCTATAAGGAGCTTTAAGATGTGTTCTGATTTCTTTTCCCCATGCTTTACGCTCCCCTATGAACCTTGTCCACCTCTGGGCTTTCAGAGTAGCTGGTGGAAAGCATTAAAGTGAAAGTTAAATTGAAGAAATATCTATAACCCATTTGTTGTTATATTCTATCGGTGCTCATCACTTTCTTCTGTGTCAGAGGTTTGGGTCAATTTGGAGTTTAAAGATATTTTTTCCCCTGCCTTAGAGTCTCAACTCCTATACTAGTATTATTAAATTTTTCTAAGGACAGAGCAGTGGGAAAGAATAATTAAACTGCTTTTATGCAGTTTTATTGGATTCAAAATTAAATAGAGGCCAGGGAGGCTGTTCTGGGGGCAATTAACACACAGAAGCAAACAATTGTGGTGGATTGCTGTAGAACTGGGGAGAACTGCGTGGGCACAAGGGGCACAGAGAGCATTTTTAGAAGGCAAGGGAAACAGAAAGAGATTTCAGAATCAGGCAATAATCCTTGCTGTATTGAATTTTTCAAACTGGATTATATTAATAAAATATGATTATGGAGGAAAAGGGTGTAAGCTCTTTTTTCAGGCTGTGAGTCCCTGATGGATGGGGACACCCCAATGACTGTGTGATTGAATGAGGGTAGGCAACTCCAGCCCGAAGAGCAGTCTCCCTCTATTGCTGGAACGATTTCTGGTGGAGGGGCAGTCAAGCATGAGCTGCACTGAAGCCCTGTACCTTAGCTCAAAGGAGCCAAATCACCTTTCCAATCTGGGCATCTGTGGGCATCCTTTTCTAGTCGTGTGTCTCGGTATTGATGTGAGAGGTCTCCTCTATTCTCCAGTTCCTGAGAGCTAAAACACCCATCAGCCAGCGAGGGGAAACTGGAGGCTTTTAAGAGCCTTGAGTCTGGTGCTAGATTTTCCAAGTTCTCCACTGCCTGGGCCTGCCCAACATCTGACTTTGATGTTCCACAGACATTGATACAGTGGTTCTTGCAAATGCACACAGAAATCCTAAAGAGAATTTTATTTATTATGATTTTTTATTTTTTAGTATAGAGGTATCAAATTGAGCAAAAAGACATATCTCCAGATAATTGTGAAAAAAATCTAGACAAATGCATAACTACAAAGAACAATTACCAGGAAACTCACAGTGGGAATAAGCATGGTCTAATGTTCGCTCCAAAGGACTTAAGATGTACGAATTTGGGCAGACTGAACAACCTGCTGATTTTGACCTAAATAAATGACCCAGGATGTATGGTACCAAAAGCTCTGTCAAAGAAATTGGGCCATAACCATCAGTTGCTTAACCACTTCCCCTCTAGCCCATGAACTTGTAACATTAGAAACTTTTTTGTAGTGGAGTGTGGGATGCAAGGAAAAAAAGATAAAGCGGCATTTTCAGCCAAGCAGAGCATGTGCTGAGGGTTCCGGTCCATTGCCTTTCATTATTGTCTGGTCAGGTTCTCCAACTTGAAGAAATATTTCTGACAGAATGAGCATATTTCAGGAATCTTGGAGAATTTAGAGTTAACCCCAGTTATTCAGGGGTTGACCCTCACTTTGGGAAAGCATCCAGGATCCTGGATTTTCTTCCTTCTAACGCTTAATCCATCTTCTTCCTACTCCTTGATCCCCATCTCCTATCTCTTTTTGTACCTTTCCACAGCTTGTTAGGCAATTCAAATAAAGAGCAGGCAAAGAATATAACATGAAAAAAAATAATGGGTGAAACTAAAATTTATGAAATTGACTCAGTAATCCTGGATCTGGAATTGGTATGGGTAGGAAGAAATTGGAACTCTTGGCCAAATATGGTGTTTTGGTTAGTGATAGTCGTCAATCAATAAATGAATGGTTATTTGCCTGTCAACACCTTGAATCCTACAATGATTTAGTTTTCTGTAATTAAAAATATTTTTAAGATATTCAAAATATTTTGGTTGTCATTTAGGTAGACAATAAATTTGCCCCAAGTGATCAGAGGAGGTAATATCTGTACCGTGAGTCCCCATATGCCTAGCCAAATGGATCATTCTTCCTGCCCCGCCCCCCCCCAAAAAAACTCTTAATGAATCAAGGTAAGAAAAATGTACCTGTCCTGCGGTGTCATACAGTCCGAGCAAGTGTTGCTTGCCTCCCACTGTCACAGTAACTAGGGGAGAAGAGAAAAGAGGAGAGTCTGTAAATGCAAGCTTCAATCAGGAGTCTTCACGTTTCTCTATGCCAGCATCTCCTTGGGCAGCAAGGACAAGCATATGCCTCACCCGTGTATATTTGAAACCAAGTTGACAGCATGCTTGCCAAATGAAAGGCAACCTTGGGCTGCAGTGAGAGCAGATGGGCTGAGCCAAGTCCAAATGTCTCAACCGAGGTGAATACTGTTGGTGCCACTAGGCCGGCTGTTCATTGATCCTGATTAGGCCCTGTAATATCAAGCTCCTGAAGGGAAAGGATGCTGGACTCTTTCTTGGTTAGTTTATTTTCTTCTTTCATTTGGTTTGAGCCGCCTTTCGGGATATAGACTCGTGTAAACAACCTTTCTGTTAGAAATCTCTCGGCTTTTATTTGTCATCAAAATGTTCAAAGACCCTGAAAACAAAGGATATTAACCCACCTGCCTATGTTATAGTCTATAAGGCAAAGCTAATAATGAAATGCGAAGGGCTTAACATTTATTTCAAAAAGTGTTTTTATTAAATATCTCTGTGCTTTAGCTCAACTGATTCATTACAGTTTGAACCTTAGTTGCAGAAGGAGGTGTGGTATATGGGTTTCATCTCACATAACTGAAGGGCATATATAGAGTGCAAAGTAGAGAGTTTGATTTACTCAGCAGGCTTATTGCCTTGCCAAGCAACGATGTCCAAAAGTGGGAGGTAATAGAGGGATACCAGCTGCTCTTTACATGGCTGGAAATGAAATAAAGTCTCAACTTGAAACTAAACTGAGATTGAACAAATCGAAGGCAAGAGTAATATGATTCTCCTGGTGAATGGAAAGAGCAGATTTAAATTTCCACAGAAATTTAATCTCTTTTTGGAAAAAGAAAGTAAAATATGAAGGAGAATGTGATTTTTCCTAGTTGATTAAAAAATGTACAAATGCAGGGATTCACATTCACTATCTTATAATAACCTATAATGAAATATAATCAGAAAAAATAACTGAATCACTATACTGTTCCCCTAAAACTAACACGTTATTGTGAGTCAACCATATTTCAATACAAATGTGCAAGTCCAACATAAAAATGATTTTTGATTTCCCCTACCATTAGCTGTGCAGGAAACGAAAGATAAATGGAATAGCAACCTTTTATAACCATATCTCTAAAATATGCCAGCCAAATTCTCTAGTCTGCAGCTCGGGGCTTTGGTACTGATCTGACTTTTATTTGTTTTCAGGTTCAGGGCCTACATGTATGCAAAGTGCTTCTTAATGGCTCTTTCTTTGAAAAGCACTTGTTTAAAAGCACTGCCTTCCCAGACACTGGGAACAAGTTTTCTAATCTACTCAGATCAACGTGTATTCAGCTTGATAACATGGCAGCAGCTGCACAGATGAGCTTTTACATGTGTGTTTTTAAGGGGTGAACCCGGCTCCATCCAACGCTAGTGACAACACCGAAGAGAGGCGTCTAAACATTTTTCCTTCCTTTCATAAGCCAGGCTAGCAATGGAAATGAAGGTGAGATGGCACAGCCCCGATCTCTTCGTCCTGTTATAATTTCCTCTTCCTGCACACTTGGAGCCCAGTCAGATGTTCCTGAAGTCTGCCTAAATTGTTTCTTAAATGGCTAATTCACCACCTAGACATGGATCAGGAATGAGGGGAAGAAAGCCAGCCATTACAACATGGAATTTCCTGCCTCTAGTCAGCCCAGTACTTACAGGTTAGGGGCAGCGGTTCCGGAGACCCCCTTGGATGGTCTCCCGACTTAGAGGCCCAGGGCCATCTGTGGAGCGAGTACTAGAAGCTGACTCACCCTCACGGCCCCACTGGGCACTGCAGAATTTCCAAAGCGATGGCTCTGACCTTTGTCACTGGAGCCCTGAAGCTCTTGTTTGAGTTTTCTCAGAGAACAAACATTCCTTCCAGCCTGCTTTTCCTCAGGCCTCGCCCTCTTCTCCCTTGGCAGCTCTGACTGCAGAGAATTGTTCCAGGCCTGAGGCGAGTGCCAGCCCGGGAAAGGTGGCCGTCGGGCTGAGAGTCTGAGCCCAGCCTTCCCTTACCTCTGTCCTTCCCTTCCTCAAGAGTTTCTTGGGTTCTGGGACTGCCCTCAGTGTTGGGAGCGTAAAGGCCAGATACAGCTCGTCCTGTCACGGAGCGTGGAGAGGAGGGTACAAGGCAGTGCAGTGAGCACTTTGCTGGTGGCAGTGCGGATGGGTGGGGGAGCATGCAGAAGGGGCACCACTGCACGTGCACACGCGCCCTGCTGGAGTGTGGTCAGAGAAGGCTTTCTGGAGGACATGTCCGAGCTGCGTCCCGAGGATGGCCAAGAATTACCCAGGGTGCACTGGGGGAGATGGGGCATGTAGGCTTAGGCCCAACCCGACTCACTAATACAGCCTTTATTCTGAAGGCTTTGTTAAACTATGAAAGTCCTGAATTATTCTTGTTCCCAAAGAAAGCGAAAGAGAAGGAACTAAAATAATTTACTTGCGTTAAGGCAAAATGGTGAGAGGAGGGAGGATGAGGTTTTTGGGGTGGAAGCCAGGTCAGCTTTCAGCTTTGCTGCCTACTCTGTTGGACCAGCCCTGCTGGAGGAATCCTGAGGGAACAGGGCAGTGCCCTCATGCCCCCATCTCTGGAAATCACTTTTATTCTCTCTTCTCTGCCCTTTGATTCTCCCATTTTATCAGAAGGAAGATAAATGGATCACACAGTTGATGACTGAGAACATCAAGGGACAGACAGCCAGAGGCAGATCCAAGCATCACTCACATATTGTGGAATATGCAAATGGCTTTGTGAGTCCTTATCTTGGGCTAGCAATGGATGCCTTATCGCTTGCCAACCTGGGCTCTTTGAGGCTTCTCAGTTTGGAAATGAATTAGGTCAGCATAGAAGGAAGGTATGCTCTAAAAATGATCATAGGAAATGTAGAGACGTTGAGAGAGCGGGATATTTTAAGTCAGATGGTTCTGCGTTTGAATCCCATCTTTGCTATTCACTGTATGAATGACCTTGGGAAAGTCACCTAACACCTCTGAGCCCCACTTTCCCTATTTGTTAAAAATGGGGGGAACATCACCCATCAAAGAGAATACTTGTGAGGAGAACGTTAAATGAGAAAATGCCTGGCACACAGCCTGGCCCACAGTAGGTGCTGAGAAGTTGTTATTTCCCCTCCTTCAACAAATGCTTATTGGACCTCTTCTAAGACCAGGGACAGTCTGTCTTGCTCTCCCCTGTATACCCAGTGCACGTGAAATGGCACAACAAAGTTATAATATTTGTGAATTACCGGTCACTTTCTACGCTAAATGGTAGCTATTTAGATCAATGTCTTGTGTCTCTGAATGGACAGGTAGGCCCTTGAGGACACAATCTCCATACCCCATACCCCACACAGTACACAACACAGTTCTTGGCATACGTAGTAGTTGCTGAATCCATAGAACAGAAATGAAGCCCCAGGGGCAACTCAGGCAGAAGGAGGTCCTTCGAAATGTGCAGAGCTTCAGCTTGAAGCATCCTGGCAAGACGCTAACTGCTGGGAAGTACCTGCAGCCAGCAAACCTGCCCCGCAGACAGTGGTCAGGCTAAAATCCCAGATCACCTTCTATTCTCCAAGCTGTTAGAGTGTTTTGTTTTGAGCTTAGAGAGGTTTTAAAGAGAGTGGGTCAAATGACCTGCTAATGGCTCAGATGGTTCTCTCAATAAAGCGTGAAAAGTTGTCAGTGGCTTGTTAAGTATGTAAACCGAAGGCCTTCCTCTCCAAATCCATTTAGCTCTTGGCTTCCTTGTGTTTGTTCTTGGTGCAGATTGGATGGTTAATTTTATGAGTTGGAGTGAGGTGCTAATGAAGTAGAAGTCGTGGGTTTGCTCTCCTGAGAGTCAGTTGATTTCACCCAGAGAGAAAGTGTCCCGGCAGGACGTGAGCCTGCCCCCGCCCCACCCCCCTCAGCATTTCAGTCACCTCATGAAACTGCATGTCGTTTGCAAACCTGGATGAGGAAGTGTTGGTCATTCCCTGTAAGCCAGCTCAGACCGTAAGTCCAGCCCATTAGCAGCACTAGGAACCTGGTTCACAGCCCCCTGCCTTGTTGGTCATCTCATCCGCCAAGAGCAATCTTTTGGAGCCGATGCGATGAATATCTGATGAATCCTGAGAACTGGCATGGCGGAAATGCCCAGTGCCCCTCCGTTCCCAGCACATAGCCAGCTGTCTGCATCACTCATGTCAAATGTACTGTATTTGGCAGGTAGGATGAGGCATACCTGACTATGTCTCATCCTAAATGTACTAGGATGGTACTAAAGGTACTAATAGTACCTTTAGTACCATCCTAGGCACTATTTTGGAGGAAGAAACACTAGATTTATAGACATAGCAAGAAATACAATTTTAATTAAGTTAAAAACATGGCCCCATGCAAATATAGAATGATGTTATGTCAAAGATTTATTAACTCATTAATGAGAGAATCAGTAAGATGATAAATCTTGTTCAAAGAGCATTTTGAAGAACTGGACATTTATAGGTACTTCAAAAGCAAAATGTTAGAATAAGATGGCTAAGTTCAATGGAAAACTGGTTGTTGTCCTATGGAAAAGATAAGCTTTGGTGTTCTCCTTTCTACTAAACAGGAATTATTTGCATCTTGACCCAACAAGATTTACAAGTTAACATGTAACTTCAGAGAATCTAAGCTTTCAGTTAATAGCAGAATCAGACAAAGGCAAGTTACCCTAGATTACTAAGCCTCGGGGGAAGGGTGTTGAACACTGCCTTAGCATGGACAGTTGCATGTTCTCGGCCTTATATCCAAGTTCCAGATAATTTTTCTTCACGTCCGAATTCAAGTCCATACTTAGCTATCTACTCATTTGGTGAGATGTTGGGTAGGTCAGTAGGTTTCTCCCTCACCTGGAAGATAAACACATTGTCTTTACCCTAAAGGGGTATAAAAACTCTTTATTAGCTGT